GGTTTCCCCAGTAACGCTGTACACAAAGCAGCACTGCGCTCACAATGCTTTATCACGCATGCTCACACATGATCACATGCTTTATCAGGCATTACAGGCGAGATGAAATGAAAATGAGACCAATCAGACCAATCACCGCAGATTAGCGTCACGCAAAGGAGGGGTTTGGAAAAATGAATCGTTGAGCGAATCGTTTGGGAGTCGTTTAGCAAGTAAGGTAAAAATAAATGCATATTATAAGACAATGAAAGTGTTTTTTGACCTTGCATGCATGTCAACCTGTTGTTGGGGACTCCCAAAACCAAAATATTATTAAAATAGAAAACAGTTATTTTTAATTATAATAATATATCACAATATTACTGCTTTACTGTAGTGCAACCTTGGGGAAGCTAAGAGACATAAAAAAATCACAAACTTTTGAACAGTAGCATATATCTAAAAATATATTTTGCTTTCCAACAGTATACCTTTGTCAGATGTCCTTTCATAACGGGTCGTGTGTCAGGGTGAGTGAAGAGCGGACTAGCAGCTTTGATCCTCAGGACGCTCTGCAGGACCCTCAGCCACTCCTCCAGCAGGTTTGGGGAATCTGCCTTCAGATTACACACACTCTTACCCGTCACCACCTGAAGGGACACAACATTAACACAGACAGTCATGTGAAATAATCTGAGCTGTATGCACAAACACTTTCTCCCACACACAAACACACACACACACACACACACACACACTTTACCTGAAGCATCTGTTTGCCATCACCACGAGCTATAGTGCTGCATGCATTCAGCTCAATCTGACCTTGGGGTTTACGGATCACGTCACTCTATGAACCAAAATCAAAGATCCACAGGAAATGTAGGAAATACAGAATGTATAATAATAAGAATAAAACATCATTAATATAAGAACTTTATGAATGAAATGAAGAATGAAACAGAACAACGATAAGAAATAAATAAGAGATAAATGAGTCATTTAAACTGACTGGTGATTTGTAGTAGAGAAGCTCCCCATCCTTCAGAACAAACCAGTGTCTCTTCCATGTTTTCTTCCACGTCTTTACCATCTTGAGCAGGTACCCAGACTTCTCCATACACTCCTGGAACACGACACATTCTCATTTGTTACCCTGGACCACAAAACCAGTTCTTACAGTCTTGCCGTTGTCAGTGCTGGAGGAGCAGGTCTTTGGGAGTTTGTTTTCAGGTTCAGAGCACTCTGTGTCAGTGGAGTAAGCATCAGGGGGGATGGCGTAGTCACTCTCAGATGTCATAGAAGACAATGACACAGCTGAGAAAAACACAACACATTCAGTGACTGGGGGGGAGGGTATAGGGCTCTGTGAAATCCATTTGATTTTTCCTAAATTCTGTTTGAATTTTTCTGGAATCTGTTTTAATGGGTTAATTTAATCAGCAAAAAACATGTTTGATTTACGAAACTTTAACTATTTAATCTTTTGAAATGAAATCAAACAAAAATAAGGGTTACTATAGTTAAAAACTAAAACTATATTTTAAAAAAATCTTACTTGAAATAAAATACATTTTAACTGAAATAAAATATACAAAAACAATAAACTTATTTTATTTCAGCTAGCTGCCAAGGCAAAATTTCTCATTTTTTATCTAGTTTAACTTGATGCACTAAAACTAAAAGTGAAATAAAACAAACTTTATAGACATATTTAAAACTAACAAATGGGAACACACACACACACACACACACATAACAAAATTACTAAAATAAAAATCCCTCAAAATATTAATATAAATATTATAGTCTCTCAATGACACTAAAATGTAACAATTTCTTCACAATATTTTTTTGTGCTACATAACAGAGGTTTACTTTTATTTTATTAAATATATAATTTGATATACAATTTTTAATGCAATATTTACATAACTGAACAATATTTGAAGGCTTATATGCCAATGTTTCAATGCATTATTTACATAATTATTAATAGCATTAATAATTAACTAATATTATTTAGTTAATATTTTTATTTTCATATCAAAATAAGATAGTTACAATAGTTTTTGCTATGCTGCCGAAATTGGTACAGAGAATTGTGTAATTTTACTAGTATCATTACTGACTACTGAAATTTTGGTACCATGAAAACACTTGCACCTCTCTTAAGTGAGCGGGGGCTTTCATGGCTACTGCTCTTGTGTGACTCTGATCCAGAGGTCTGGGAGTTCTCCTCCTCTCCAGAGTTAGACTGACACTCCTCCGAACTGTCCTCCTCCTCAGAACTAGACGACTCCTCTGAGAACTGACTGTTGCTTAAAGTCGCTTTCTATGAGAGTAAAAACACACATTGCATTCATGAAAACGTAATTCAAATATTTCCTTCTATTACTGATAGAAGTGCTGACTCTTATGCAATTAAACAGTCATTTCTGATGAATACTTTTGCCAGTGAACACAGTAAGCAGTGGTCTTATGACACACACACACACACACACACACACACACACACATGTAAAGACACACACAGGTTCCTACCCCTTTGTGTGTGGCAAAGACAGGTGTGCTTGTGTTCCTGTAGATGAGGGATGTGTAGAGCATGTAGGCGGGGCATGTGGATGCATGGGAGGAGTCTGGAAGAAGAGGATTGGATATTTTCACTAGCTGTTAATAAATGCACACTATGATTTACGCAAGTAGAAATATTTTTGAGTACTTTGTTGGTCCTGGACCGATATTTACATTTCTATGCAAAAATCATTGTCCAAACACAATCCCATAACCATAAACTAAAACTATAGCTCCTAAAATCAAGAGGTAGATAAGAACATTTGGACAGCTGATGCAGGAACGTGTCCTACTTGGGTAAATCAATATGAATATGAATATGCACATCATGTGTACCAGTAACATGACTACTGAATCAAAATGGGCAATACCCAGCTGTTGGTGTTCTTACTTTGCGCCATTAAAATTAGTTTTACATATGATAAAGACTCTAATAATTCTGCCTTCTACTTGGTGAATGAATTGTAATAATTCAATGGAAATTGGGTGAATCTCAGTCAAATTTGTTAAGAACATTCACATTTGAAAAAGCTTTATTTTTTGTAACATTCCAGTGTAACATTTTTATGTAATTTTTATAATTTCCTTCCGACAAATATCTGTCAGAAAGGCAAAAAAGTGATGCAAAATAAAATACTTTTTCATTTGAATTGAATTTCTAATTGTGAAAAATAATAAAATAATAACTGTAAAATATACACAAATCAATCAAATTAAATTAATATTTGAATAATTAAATTTTTATTTAAATTGTCATATAAATTTGTTAAGCCAATTTGATTTTTAATTTCAGAATTTAATTTATGCAAATTTTAAAATGAATAAAACTTTTTTTTTTTTGCATTTTGGTAATAGGAATCTTATAACATACAGTCACAATGCAAAAATTCTTAGCCGTCTTAAAAATAGGATTGCTTTTTCATATATGTAAACTAGCTGTAAACTGGCTGTATTTCTAGTTATACAATGGCTGAGGTCACACAACTCATACAAATGCTATTCTGTTTTTTTCTTTTGCTATTTGTGCAAATGGGAGCACAAAAATGATATTTGTTGAAGTTTCCATCACTATAGAAGATTACTAAACTATGACAACTTCTGCTTCTGATAACCCTGGAAATCTGAAAAGGCTCCATGTGTACAGAAATGCATAACATGGGATTGGATTTTTCCTTAAGAAGTGCATGTGAAACACAATGAAGATACAAAATGAAGAGCGATACAGCATATGTGCAAATGTACAAACAACAACAAAAAAAACCCACACCTTTATTAGCTACATCTGTACACGACGTCTCTGACAGACGAATTCCAGATTTTGCCACAGCATATATTCTGCTCTCCTGCAGATAAGAGGAAACCACAAGTCGAACCAAAATGACAAATTCATATTTGTACTATTTGTGGCATGACTCACCCAAGAGGGCAGTCTGTGCAGCGGAGGGGTCGGAGGTTTACTCCCGGGCATGGCTGCAGAGGCGTCGGGTGTTTCTCGTTCCTCAGGTGGCGCTTCAGCTGCAGGCACATCAGCATGCTCTCGGTCACCAGTCTCCATCTTTTGCTCTTGGTCCATGTCTGTTTCCTGAGGCCGTAGAGGACGTAGCATGCTGAAGGCGTTTCGTGTCCGCCCATGGGCGGCTTCACTGTACAGCGGAGGCTGACTCAGATGCTTTTTAGCCAATGCCAAACTAACATTAAATGCATTTGGATTGCGCAGTCGGGGCTGTTTGGGGGAGGCTGGGGTGTCCTGGGAGTCCTGGGACGGGGTGGGCCGCTTTGGTGTGAGAGCTGGAGTTAATATGAGGCTGGGAGTGTTTGTGTCACTGGAGGATGACGAGGAATCAAGACTTTGTGACTGGAAGCGTTTATTCAGCTCATCTGAGGATCCATCCTCAGCGTCCACCTTCTCGCTGTCTCTCTTTGAAGCGCTCTTGGTGCCAGGAAGGCAAAGTCTGGAGCACTCCACGCGCTGCATGTCATCGTCAAACAGCGAGCTGCTGTCGTCTGAGGCTGTGTGGTAGGTCTCACTGGCGGGTCGACTGAAACGCAAACCTCCAAACAGACTCCTCTCCCCTTCAGAGGCAGCACTGGACAGGATAGAGGAGACACCACAGGACAGCGTGTGTCTGGTACTGTCCCGCTCATCCTCTGATCCTGCCTTAGGGCAACGACCAACACACTCTGTTTCTGGACAATCTTGTTTCAGTCCAGAATCTGGATCAGACCAAACACACAGACTTGGTGAATATGTGAATACATGTAGTAAGTACTTTATCTATTAAAAGCATTAAGACTTCTCTGAGTTAAAGTCAAATGTTGATAACTGGATCAATTTTGCAAATCACTGTTAAGTCATTCATTTTAATGAATCAGACTCAAGACAAATGACTAATTTGAGTGGTTCATTTAGTGAGTTAAAATGCATTCATCATAATGAACGCCGTACAAATGACTCTTATAAGTCAGTTCTTCTGAATCAAAAACAGAAAAAGCTTTGAGACAATTTCACTTTCTAGATATATGTTGGTATTGATAGGGCAATGCAATTGGTGGATCAAAATGATGGCTTCTCATTTGAAGTTGATACACACACACACACACACACAATATTATATACCGTATATGCAACCGTTGAAAGGTTTGGGTTTGGTAAGGTTTTTTCATGTTTTTTTTTAAAGATGCTTACCAAAGCTGCATTTATTTGATCAAAAATATTGTGAAATTTAAAGTAACTGTTTTCTATTTATAATATATTTTAAAATGCAATTTATTCCTGTGATGCAAAGCTGAATTTTCAGCATCATTACTCTAGTCTTCAGTGTCACATGATCCTTCAGAAATCATTCTAAAGCCAGTTCTTCTGAATCAAAAACAGAAAAAGCTTTGAGACAATTTCACTTTCTAGATATATGTTGGTATTGATAGGGCAATGCAATTGGTGGATCAAAATGATGGCTTCTCATTTGAAGTTGATACACACACACACACACACACAATATTATATACCGTATATGCAACCGTTGAAAGGTTTGGGTTTGGTAAGGTTTTTTCATGTTTTTTTTTAAAGATGCTTACCAAAGCTGCATTTATTTGATCAAAAATATTGTGAAATTTAAAGTAACTGTTTTCTATTTATAATATATTTTAAAATGCAATTTATTCCTGTGATGCAAAGCTGAATTTTCAGCATCATTACTCTAGTCTTCAGTGTCACATGATCCTTCAGAAATCATTCTAAAGCCCTATTCGCACGGGATTAGTATTATCTGGGGACCTCGTGTGATTTAAAATTACCCCCTACATCCACATCTGTGCATTCGTACAGAATAAGTGAAGCCTGTGATTTTACTCCAATTTACTGACTTATCTCCCGGATATGATGTCAAGGCTTAGCGTAACATTACATATCACAAACAGAAGAATGTTCCTTACCACATGCTACTATACATGTCATCCATCTCCAACTAATCATTCTTTTTGTTTTCTCTCTTCTGATGGTTTTCAGCTTTCTATTTCTGCTAATTGTATAGTTGTATGGTGTATAGCGATAATGACCCAGCACCCAAAATACTACCAAAACAATCCAACGCAGCCTCCATTCTAAGCGAAAGATGGATAAAAAGGTGCACCGCGCAGGAAACAAAAACCTAGAAAAAAATTATATATCCGGCCCCGCAAAATCCTGGCCAAATTACAGAGATGCCGATTCGCACGGGACTAATATTATCACAGGATCTCTGTGTTTGGCGAAATATGGTAGGTAATTTGTGGGGGAATTTTTACTTTACAAATTACAGACATGGCGGATTCGCACGGGATTAACATCACAGACAACCTCCGCAATTATTACAAATGACTAGAGGTCACCAGGTAATACTAATCCCGTGCGAATAGGGCTTTAACATACTGATTTGCTGCTCAAGAAACATTTATTATTATTATCAGTGTTGAAATCAGTTGAGCTGCTTATTATTTTTGCAGAAACCATGGTAAAAATTCTTTGATAAATAGCAAGTAAAAAAAAAAAATTTATTAATTTGAAATTCTTTTTTGTAACAATGTAAAAGTCTTTACTTTCACTTTTGACCTTTTTAACATGTCCTTGCTGTATAAAAGATTTAATTTCTTAATTTCTTCCCAGCCTTGTTGCATCTCGGTCAAACTCAACAGATTATGAACGAATACTTTCAGTCAAACAGCTACAGATATCATATCAGTCTTCTGACCAGTAGAGGGTCTCCTGCAGTCTGTGTGTGTGGGCTCACGATCCGGCTGGGTGCTGACGCTCTTCTGGGACGGCTCTGGGCCCGTCAGTACCTGAGGACTCTTCCCTCTGATTTGAAAACAGCCAAAAGTCAGACTGCTGAGCCGCTGGGCCTCATCCACATTGGGCTGGATTGAACCACCAGAACCCAAAGTCAGCTCCATGGCTAAAACACAACACAAAAGCACTACACTTAATAGCTCCATTCCATCACTGGAAAAATGATGAAAAATTTCCTGTATATTTTTATAACTTATGCTGTGCTTGTTAGCCCAATTCCTGTTATTTATTTATTTGCATATTACGTTACATATCTATTTATTTTCTGTTGTTTAGCTTGTATTCCTTGCTTTGTATATAAAAACTGAAAATAAAAAATATATATAAAAAAAATAATAAAGCACACTGCATTATGGGATAAATGCAGAGTGCTTTGTTTTATACTGCGGACCGTGTACATTGTGCACAATTACAATATGCATGCTACATACTCATTCTCGTTCATACTTAAAGGGGTCATATGATGCTGCTAAAAAGAACAGTATTTTGTGAGGATAAAAGTTACGCCTTCTTTCTTTGGGTGGACATTTGGGCGGCTTTATGCAAATCTTCCCACATCGTGATGTAGGTATGTGGGGGCGTGTTAGAACGAGCCGTTTTAGGTAGGTGTGGCTGACTCTTAACTTTTATAAAGAATATCTCTTTGGATTTGAGACTTTAGTCTTTGCAACTTTACAGATCTTCTTTATGCACCAAGAGCTTGTAACACTCCAAAGAGAAAGGAAAAATTTAAATCGCATCATATGACCCTTTAATCATTTTTTACATAGTGTTTGTTTAAGTCATGGTTTTGATGAAAAATTTCTTTGACAGGCCTAACACTGGACATACTGCAGAACTAGCAGGAATAATGTGGTAGAATGCTATTTTGAAAACACAGTAGCCATGGCTTAACATGATTACATGCATGAATGAATACCTTGCAGTCGTCTTCTCAGGTCTTGTATCTCAGCCTCCTGTTGTTGGTTGATCTCTCTCAGAGAGGCATTCTCTATATCAAACTACAAGAGTGAAACATTTACACACCATTTATTTCCTTCCACCTATTCTAGAACAAACACATGTACAAAAAGCATGAACCTACTTCATTCAGCTTCCTCATGACCCATTCTTTGATCTTAGCTGCTTTTTCTTCAACCGTCTTGGCATCTTGGATTCGGTTCTGTTTCTGAAGTTGTAACGTAATGGATTTAAAAAGGCCTCTATGATGCAAACCTGATGGTTTTGGAGTTGGGACTGACCTGTTCCTCCAGCTGCTGCTCTAGGGTGGCAATAAGCTCGTCTTTCTCCTGCAGTAGCATTCGAAGATTTTGACAGCGTCTGAACAGCCGCAGCTCTGAATCACTCGACTGGATATCTGATGCTTTTAGACACTCTTCCATCCATTGCACCTGAAACACACACATGAACATTCACACATTATTAGTAATGGTCATATTATTATATACAATATAAAATATACAGGGGTTGGACAAAATAATGAAATAATGTGAACACCCATTATTATGGGTGTTAAAATAATTTGTGTAGACTACAGTGAAAACTTGTGGTTCCGTTGTTTCTCCTGCCTCCTCCTCAGACTTGACACTCACGCGGGTTGCCAGATTGAGGACACGCTACAGGAACGAGCGCAATTTACAATGGAAGGTGACAAGCCTTACACACTGTAAGTTGATGAACCGATTTACCTGTGTTTTAATATTACTCTGTTCATAGATCTTTTTAGATGGATCTTTTTAGGTCGAGTAGAATCTGTGATCTCGCTGCAATACGCTGTGTTTTCCACCACCTGGCGTCCCGGGGAGTTTAAATACTATTGAGTAAAATGGCAGTGGGCGGAAACACACAGACCAAAACAAAAACAGACATGGAACCACATTTCAAAACAGAATAACTGTAGCATTGTTTTTTTGGAGAAACAAGTATGTAAACTTAGCATGTTACCTAAATATTTGCAAACACATTTTGGTATTTGTATGCTTTAGTACAGTCAAAAAATGTACATACAGCACCTTTAATAAAGGAATATTGTCTATTTCCAAGGTGTTCACATTATTTTGTCCAACCCCTGTGAATGATTAATATAAATTATAATATAGTTTTGTTGAAATTATCCTTTAAATGTTGTCACCTGACCATTTTACTCCCAATAAAATGGCGTTTAATAATTTGAGGCATTTTACTTGATAATAATATGCAAAATGATGAAAACTTTGATAAACCATAAAAAAATATCTTTTTGTCAAGAAATATTTTCATATACATTTGTTACATTACATTAGTATTAATCGTACCAAAAGAATCAAATCATTTAGCAAGCCATTTAGGTAAATAATCATAATTTAAATAAATCATTGTCAGTGCAAATATTCCAAACATCGGATGAAATGTCCAAGAGAGTGTTATTAGTATTTACCTGCTGGCTGGCCTCATATGCTCGACGCTCTGCTTCCAGTACCTGCGTCTCCAGCTGCTGCATCTGAGAGAGCGAGAAGTAATGTTTAAATGAATGGGCAAATGAGCCGTGCTTGTGCATGAATATGTATAAACATGAGAATTATTAAAAGTCTACATCAAAATTTTCCTCATGCATAACATTTTCCAAGCATCACTGGGGAGAATAAGTCAGCTGGTTTTGTAAACAAATATCCTTCTTTGCTGGGATTTTATCTTTTTAAAACATGTATTCATCTCATATTGCCAGGAATGCAGCATATCCATTTGCAAATCATTTTTACCATAGTGGGAATGCCATGCTATATTACTGTTAATGTTACTCCTTAAAGCCTTTTATTTTTATTTTTTTGGATGAAAAGACCATGAGAAAAAAATTGTTTATAAAGTTAAGGAAACTCAAAAAAAAGCTACTGTCTAAGCAAAAACATTTCCCCAAAAACTGAAGCTGTGTTGTATTGGTTTCATTTTTGGACTGTATTGTATGTGCATAATGTCACAATTATAGTTGTGTATGCAAAAAAAAAAAAAAAAGTTATGTGGTAAACCAGAGGTAACGATTTAGTTGCCGGTCATTTTGATGATTGTTTCCTGTCATCAGATTCAGTGAAATTTCAGGGAATTTTGACCACTGTATCTTAAATCCTCATATTTTCAAGTCAATCTCTATTATAAATTCCTTAATCCACTTGCCAGTGTCATAGAAGTCTCACTCCACACATTCTGTGGCTTAGTTGTGGTCATCAGATTGGAGTTTGCTGAATGGGTCTTGGAGACTGAATGTGGACCACTAGTAAAAATGTATTATATTTAAAATACTTTTTTTTCTCCATCACACATCACAACAGTTAAATTAAAAGTTTTTTTTTTTAAAGAAATAAAATTAGATGAGCTGAACAAATCTTGAAGATCCCGTTCTCCAACATAATTTGATAATGATCCAAAGTGCTTTATTAGAAAAACAACACGAGCAACATACTTTATCAAAATGCAGAAACACTCAAATACTAACATAGTGAAAAATAAATACTTTTTAATTGAATATATACACAGACACAGTATATACATATATATATATATATATATATATATACTTATATATTAACTTAATATATCGTTTTTCATATTATAATATTGAATTTTTTATTTTTTTTAAGAATTTAGAATTTAGAATTTTAGAATTTAGAGGTTGCCTATTTGCCATAAAAAGAGAGATTTCTGCTTAAAAATATTTTGTTTGTTAGACAAAAAATATATTTAGGCAAAAAGGTGCCATTTTTAATCACTATGCAAAAACCATTGACATACTACGATAGCATATGCACTTCACAATTTATTAAATATAAAATTATTTTTCACATTACACTACTGAAAAGTCATTTTTATTGCATTGTGGTAATGACAAATAAGGGGGTGCCTAATTGTCAAAAAAAAAAAAAAAATCAATGTCTATAAATTTGCTTCATTTTATGTCATATCCTTTCTTATAACTGAGAATTATTTTAAGATAAAAAAAGTATATTTATGTGGAAAGGTGCAACATTTTTTGGCTTTCTTTTGGTGCTCTGTCAATATGCATAAAAACCCAAATACTACTAATAATATTGAATATATCATTATTTTTCACATTAGAGTATTGAAAATATCAATTTCATTGGATAAGGTTAATGGACGGAAATTTTTTTAGGTAACTATTTTGTCTTATTTATGTCTTTTTGATTTTGGGGTTGAATTACCATGATAAACATAACACCATACAAAATTAGTGAGATTTGCATAACACCGAACATTTTGGGGTTAAATTTGCTTGATCGGTGTTATGCGCTTGTTTCTGGTTTGGCAGGAGCTCCATCAGCAACCTGTTTCTCTTCATACAGTTCCCAAAGGAGAACAGACAAATATGACCTAACACACTGCTAATAGTTACCGCTGCACTCATATTTTCCACTGAACGCCATACAAAAGTGTTTTTATGAATCTGTGTGTGTATGTGACCCAATGATATTCTGATCTTTCTAACAGCCTCTTTTCTTTACAAGCCTCCATCATTAAAGATGTTTAATAAGTTCCAACACACAAAAGCACTATTGACAAAACTATCTTAATGATGACTCTGTTAATGGTGCATTAGTCAGATCTTGATGAATGACATAAATCACTGATTCGCAGATGGAAGTTAAAAAGATTTCACAGACTCTGGTTAATTTGGCATGATAGAAGTCTATTGATATTCAAGGTTTAGTAAGCCAACGCCTAACGGACTAAACCAAAGGGTGTGTCCACCAAAACACACTGATGGTCAGAAATACATCACACACTCATTATCTCTGTTGTCCACACACACAGCCACTATCCCCACAGACTATTCATACACATAAGCTTAATGTGGAACTAACTACATATGTGTTTCTACTGCAACAACCACACACACACACACACACACACACACACATACTGTACACACGGGTACACAGTACACACCCAACCTCATCTGTGGTCAAGCTGGTCCACCACTGCCCAACGGTGCAGATACAGAAAATAAAAAATAGCAGAGTAATTACAGACTGTTCTGAGAACAGCTGCACAAACCCAGAAAGACTCTGAATGGTTCAGCCACAGGTTAGCGCTACATATTAACATGTGTTGTTTTCTAAAGGCCATCATTGAACCTGTCTTGGTGAAGACTTGGTTCTTAAATCGCCAATGAACACCTGTGTGTGCTTAGTGACCATTTGATGCATCTGATTGCCTGGTTATACATACACCAACATTCAAACTTTTTTTTTTTTTTTTTTTTAAGAAATTAATGCTTTTATTCAGCAAATATGCATTACACTGATCAAAAAGGACAGACATTTATAATGTATTTTTAAATACATTTCAAATAAATGCTGAGCAGTAAATCAGGATGCTAGAATGATTTCTGAAGGATCATGTGACACTGAAGACTGCAGTAATGATGCTGAAAATACAGCTTTGCATCACAGGAATAAATTACATTTTAAAAATTTCTTAAAAAAAACAACAACAACAACAGTTGTTTAAAATTGAAATAATATTTCACAATATTACTGTTTTACTGCTAAAAAAAAAAAGTAGCCTTAGTGAGCAGAATAGACTTTACAACACTAAATATTAAAACAATTCTTAAAAACCCTAAACTTTTGAATGGTTGTATAACTTCAGGTTGTCTGGGTAACTGACATTGTGATTAAAAGTTGTCAAAACTTTTAAAAGATACTATTTTTTTTCACATTTAGCAGCAATATTGACAAATAAAAAAGCCTATTCCACTTAAGTTTTTTACTGATCTGCAGTGTCAGTCCGACTTGGTACTCTGACACTTCAAACAATTCAGTACGCATGTGAGCTGTCTAAATGATTCAGAATGAATCACAAACTGATTCAGTGATTTTGCTTACTCATTTGGACATTTATAAATGATAGAACATGGCCAGGAATGAATAAGTCTTAATTTGTGGCCACAATATATCTAGTTTTTCTTCTTCATGTCATCTGCAAGGCTCCATACAAAAGTGCATTGTTCTGTTTGACCAAGAGATGGTGCTCTAGGAGGACAATGGAGTGATTCGAAGCAACAAAGTGACCAGAATCATTCATTTTCAAAGATATATGTGACCATGGACCACAAAACCAGTCATTAGGGTCAATTTTTTGATATTGAGATTTATACATCATCTGAAAGCTGAATAAATAAGCTTTCCGTTGATGTATGGTTTGTTAAGATATGACAATATTTGGCCGATATACAACTATTTGAAAATCTGGAATCTGAGGGTGCAACATCAAAAAATAAGTTTTGATATATTTACGGTAGGAAATTTACTAAATATCTTCATGGAACATGATCTTTATTTAATATCCTAATGATTTTTGGCATAAAAGAAAAATTTATCATTTTGATCCATGCAATGTATTTTTGGTTATTGCTACAAATATCCCAGTGCAACTTAAGACTGGTTTTGTGCTCCAGGGTCACATATGGCAAATACTGGTGAAACAAGCAATAGAGACTGCTGATAATGCGACAAAGCTGAATAGAGCTCAACTTTATGTAAATGAGTGGTGACGTGGTGGTGACGGCCAATGGGGGTGCTGTAAACCAAAACAAACCAAAAACCTTCATGGATGCTTTCATCTGTTTGCACATGTAGACTTCACATTTCCATCAACAGCTCTTTGAATCTTCTACAATCCCCCTCACTTCTCTGCTCCATACGCTCCTGGCTACAGTCAGTCTTCCATTCCATGCATTCCATCCTCGGCCTTCTGTGGCCGGCCCGCCCTGCACCCCTCATCCAGCCTCCCTCCACAGGACAGCTCACAAAGCCTGTCTTTGTGACAGCCTTCACTGCACCACGGCTCCAAATTCCCCAGCGCCACCCGGCCTCTGCTCCACACTGCACTCATCTGTGTCCTGCAGCAGCACATTGTATACTACAGAAGCTCGCGTTTCCATTCTAGTACAATCCATTGCTTTAGTTAGCATTGAAATACATATTTAGATGGTTATTTATTATGGGGCTAAATTCTGAAATACCATAAAACTTTTTTATTTCACATATGTGACTCTGGACCACAAAACCAGTCTCAAGTCGCACAGGTATATTTGCAGCAATAGCCAACAATACATTGTATGGTACAAAAATCTGAGGGTGTCGAGCGGAGCGCTAACCTACAACAGATTCCCGCTTCACATAATGTGCTCTCAGTGTGAGAACACAAGTTCATATGTATTTGACTGCACTTGAAAGTTGCCCATATTTTTACCATAATGGTTTAAAAGAAAGGTTTGCATCTGTTCATAAGCAGGATATGGTGTAGTCTTCATGTGCGCCTTTGTGACATTCTTTGAGGATGGCTCACAGCGAAAGTTCGTTACTTTTTTGATTTTCTTTGCATGATGAGCAATTGCTGTCCAAGTTTGGCTGATTCATTTAAACTTCACCAAACAGGATGTAAACCAGGGGAGAAAATGTCCTACATTTCTCCCAACAAACCACACTTGGATTAGCATATATGTGTTTTTTTGTGTATGTATTTAGCATGCTAACTTCCTGTATAGCACGAGGCCAGGCATTTCCTCCCTTGGGAGTCTCAGTGATTAAAGGATAGTTTGTTTTGCCACACAGTTCGTCTGTCTCTCTCCATCTCATTTAACTCCCTCTCTTTCCCTTTCACTCTTATACCTTCGTACCCGTCCTACAAGACGTGTAAAATTACAAAAACATTTTCAAAATTATAGTTTGAGACAACCCACTGATTAGGAGAGATAAATAAGGTCCACTGTCCCGAATCAGATACGTTTCTTAGGAATTGATGGCCTGCATGTGTACGTAAAGCAATATAAAAAAGACGGAATGCAATAATATCTTTTGACAGATAAACAGGCTAAATATTTGTATAACATTTTATACAACAGTTAGTTCCAAGATCAGTCTGTGAGGAATTTCTTGTTCTGCAGGTTACATCATTACATCAGTAGGTGGGAACAAGCCATCTTCATGACTGAGTCATTTGAATCACTTTGAACTGATTCATTCAAAAATACTGATTCACTGTGGAACAAAACATCTGACTGTCTTTATAAGTGAGTCATTGAATAATTCACTCAACCGATTAGTTCAAAATCACTGATTTGTTGAGGAACAAAACACTACTGTGTGTTAGTGGTGGGACCTTTTCAGTGACTCTTTCTGCAGGTTAAGCCAGTAGGTTGTGCCATCTTTATGCAGCAGGTAAGTGACCTTCTTTATGAATGATTCAATGACTCACTTATAAAGGCAATATCGATACGTCACTTCACAGGAAGAGGAGAGGGAAATTTAAAGCAATTTGAACAACTGGTTCAAAAACACTGATTTATTTAAGACCGAAACAACTGACCGTCTTTATAAGTGAGTCATTGAATCATTCACTAAACCAATTAGTTCAAAAACGCTCAACAAAACAACTGAAAATAACACTCTCTTTAGATTGCAATCTCATTCGAGATGTCAGAAGTCCACTTTGCAGGGCACCTACTGTCTTTATAAGTGAGTCATTTAATCATTCACTTAACCAATTTGTTCAAAACCACAGATTCATTGAGTAAAGAAACACCACTACTGTTTGTTGCTCAGAGATGGACAACTGTTAGACTTTGTTAGAACTATTTTAATTGGTGGAGCAAAAATAGACAAAGTAACTGGTAATATTATGTGTAAAATATAAGTAACTAACATTGTTGTAATATAGTTTTAATATTAACATTTTTTTAAATTAAACTGCATAAAACGGTCATTTACTTGAAAATCTTAAACTGCAAATTTGTTCCAAAAGCACTGTGCTTTAAATGAGGTTAAGGCCTGTTCACTCAAAGAGCAATAACTATAAAGTTTTAATAAATAATCTAATTCTATGAGAATAGTGAAATCTGTTTATTGAGTAAATAGCAAATAACATTACTGTCAGTTTTTGTGGCCGCTAATATATTTACTGTTATAATTCTCTTTATAGTTATTGTTCTTGGTGCAAATGGGCCTTTAATTTAAAGACACAACTTAGTAGTAGGTTTTAGCGTCATAGGATGCAAAAATTCTCTCCATGAAGTTGCATCTCTTAATTCACCTCCTTTAAAGAGGCATTGCTTAAAACACAGCTTTAAAAATCTATATAAACTAGTCGCCCTTTAATAGATTAGTTGGGTGGGTTGTTTGGTGACTAGTTGATCATCCTGACCATTCCTACTTCCCTACTTTCTTTATGCTGTGTCTCAATCCTTCCCATTCATCCTCTTCCTCTGTTTTTTTCCACCACAGGATTAATCTCTGACATATCCACAGCTAAACTAAGCATCCCAGCTATCTGTATTTTAACAGCTCAGCTGATCCAGGACCTATAGTGAGAGACCCTATGTAAACATTTAATGGCAGATTTTAATTACTGCAATAAGGGATTCTGTCCACATATGCAAGGGAGGAATAATAGATGGATAATAACAAGCCTACTGATGAAGGAATGAGAAGCAATTACAACGAGATTCTCATATGATAAAATCATACACTTGAATCAGCATCATAGGGGTTAGAGGTCACGCTTACTGAGACTGAGGCTGCATTCGAAATGACATATTTCCCTACTATATAGCAGGCACAAAACAGTACATGTATGTGAATTCACAGTATTCATAAAATAGTACGAGACAAGTATGCAGATCACCTACTACTTCTGACAAATTCCTGAAGTGCACGCTTTGCTATCCCATGAAGCCATGGGAGAGGAGTTGTGAATCAACTGACACTGGTTATTTTTGTTTTCTTTTGCACACAAAAAATATTCTCGTAGCTTCGTAAAATTACGGTTGAACCCCTGATGTCACAAGGACTATTTTACAGGTGTCCTTGTGCCTTGATCGTGGTAGGACCCTTGCTGTCTATGGAGGGTCAGAAAGCTTTCGGATTTCATCAAAAATATCTTAATTTGTGCTCCGAAGATGAACGAAGGTCTTATGGGTTTGGAACGACATGAGGGTGAGTAATTAATGACAGAATTTTCATTTTTGGCTGAACTATCCCTTTAAAACTGTATGAGATTCAGTTACAAAATATTTACATTTAGTCATTTAGATAGATTTAGTCAAAATACTTTGGGGCACCAATCGTTAAAATTGCTCAAGAAAGAGCATCATCAGAATAGCTGACTATACATTTCCTAAACTTGACCTCTCCCCAAGGGCAAGACATTTAAAGAACCCGGATACATCCTGAGTCTGTAATTCAAAGAAGATTCTGCCATCCCAGAATGCAGCAGTCTGGAGGCCTGTGGTCAGGCGTTTATATTAACCTCTAATCTGCTCTCCCTCGAGATAGGCCAAAGAAATAGGCCATGGCATGCATATACACACACAATCTTTCGTGGAAATGAAAACCAAACATGGAAATGAGCAAATACTTTAATAGGTGGCTTCTTTGCCTTTCCTAGAATTCCCTGCGATTGAGTATCTCGGCAATATAAATACAAATGGGAATTAGCAGGGCGGTGACAGTTACAGACAAATCATATGCCTGTTCTGTTATTACTTTAATAAAAGATGTCTGGGGTAGGTTGAGTTTTACTTGCTCAGCATGCGGTCTGATGTAATGATTTTTAAAGGTCCGAGAGCAGACCAGTAAGCCGAGCGAAGGGACTCAGGGACTCAGGGACCGAGACGTAGTGCGTTTGACTGACCTTTTCTGCCGCGAGCTCTCGGATAACGCTCATCTGTCCACGGAACTTGAAGAGCAGGGCCTCGAGGGCCATGCATTTCTCTTTCCACTCCCCGCCTGCGCTTTCATCGCCCTCCGCCATGCCGTCACCCCTCAGGCCCTGCCACATCACACAACATGAGGCACACAGAGCTTGTAGTAGAAGACCACTCAAGAAGATAAACTATGAATCAGATGTGATATACAGCAAAACAATTATCTTGATATTTTTCAGCCTCTTCATGATATTTGATATACATCTTTGCTCTAAGCAACCATGCTTTTGACCAACTAGCCATATTTCAACATTGAAATTGTGGTTAAGATAATATTTTTTTTCAGCACTGTAAAACATTGAAACAATACTTAATGTGGTAAAAAAAAGTTAATAAAAAATCAACAATCAATCAATGTGTGTTCGCTTATGTTGAAAATGAAGATGTTGAAACAATGTTGCAATATCAATGAATGTTGTTTCCTTTTGCAAAATCGAAACAAAATTCAACTGATTAAACCTTGATCCATGACGTTGAGTCACATCCGTTAAAAATAACACCCATAAACATCCATTTAAAAATAGTTTAAGCATGTATCCACATACGTAATTATTTACATGCATTTTTTACTGAAACATTGTAGTACAAGAAAATGTCATGGAAATTAAGTGCCAAAATTTGTCCCATATCAAAAAGATGTTGAAACAACATTGCAATATCAACATTAATTTAATTTGCAATATCAAAACAAAATTCAACAGTGATTCATCTTCGATCCATGATAAATACAGACTGACACCTCAAAATCATCATCATCAAGAGTTGCAAAATTGAATTCTTTTAACATTTGGACAAAATAATCTGTCTCCTCCTTTCTGCAAAAATATGCTTCTTCCACAGTTTGGGTTTTCACAGCTTCCCATGTTTCACAGAACTCATAATTACATTCGTTTGGACACGCACAGATGTAAATGAACAGTGAATATTCTGAATAGGATGTTTATTTGATACAGAATTCTGATTAGGTGTATGCCAGCTGTCAATATTAACTGAAATTCTCATATAACTGTATGACATCTGAGATAAATCTGAACTTTAATCAGTTGGAAATGGAAAGAGAGGCAGTGAAACATTCTTGGTCTCGAATGGCAAAAGTAAGTGTTTGAGGGCCAGGCACGCAGAGCCCTGGACAAACTGACCACCACTACAAAAACAAACCCTACCAGCCAGCACTGATGCACCATCATCACACTTTTCCAGCATAGAATTTTAATTATGAAAAACGTGTCAACTGATGTAAAGCAGGTGGGGGAAAGCACAACAGCAATGTGTGAGTGAACACATTTCACTACTACTTCTCTAAAACTCTTGGCTATAATAAGCTCTCATTATAGCACTGGCACGGGTACAAAGAGAGTGTAAACATGTGCTGAGCTCAATTAAGCTGTCCTGGTAAATAAGACTGAGGGTTTGAATCTTAACCAATGTGGATACAAACAACATGTTTTACTATGGAACTAACTTCTTAAGAGGAAAATGTAGGGAAAGTGAGCCAAAGTGGATAACAGAGTCATTATGTAGATCTAGAATACAAGGATTTGTACATGGAAGATCAGGAATTTAATATATACTGCAGTATGTGAGGAAAATGCTCCTTTCCTTGAAAAGTAGATCCAACATGATACACATATAATGCATATGTTGTGAATTTCACTGTTGAGACCAGGTATGAATTTCCATCTCAGGAGTCAGTGATCCTGGTTCTGGCTCTATTAAATGTTCTGTCAGTTTCACTACATAACACAGATCAAATATACAGTGATTCAACATAACATTATATATAGTACATACACATTTTAACCTAACCAAAAACGGTCTATGGGTATGTTATATGTTAACTGTCTATATACCATTTAGCTGCAGTTTGTGACAGAATGATGGTGCAATAGGTATAATTACTGGAGTTGTATTCATGAAAATTAATAGAATAGAACAGAATAGAATTATTTAATATTAACTGAATTTCAGTTTTATCAAATCAATAAATAGTGTATTTCAAACGTATTCAATATATTAAGCTTTTCATTTTCAAAATCACTTTTAAAACAATCAACAAAGTACACAATATAGGCTATATTTAATTTTAGAATCTATTTTCATCTAAATATATAATATAGAACTTTCATATTTGAATGAAGTAGAAATAGAAACGTCAATACTTTAATATCGTATTCCCTTTTTTTGTTAATAGTTAAAGATTTTATCCTTACCCGGCAATCAGTGTTACAGTGCTGAAGATGGAACTGGTTTCACACCATAATAAAAATAATATTCCGTCTTGTCGTAGTCGTTATTGCACTAATGACCTAATTATGATATAAAGAGCGACCGTTTTCTAGCACAAAGTTTTCACTCCAGCATCGGCCTGTGGAAGTGGGCGGGCATGGGGATGTCATGTCTGATCGACTTTGTCGTGGACCAATCACGCATCAGAAGCATTCTGCGTGAACCAATCATCTTTGTGCTGGGCGGACCTCCAGCGCGACTCCGGAATTGACGCGTCACACGTGTATGTTATGTTGCTGTGGAAATACTTATTTCTACATGCAGCGTTGAACCTTTTCACCGTTACCTGCTTTGTTACAAAGGTATGACAATATATTTTCATGTTTTAGAATGTTTCGAATGTGTAGTAGAACAGGGTGTTCGGTGTGGAGGAGAATGTGATATAAATGGCTGGAGGAAACAGTAACGTGACTAGCACTAGGTAACGTTAGGTTGAGCCAGAGCTCTTATAACTTCCTTAACTTGATCTTCAGCACTTGTTGTATGATCGTTGTAAGTAATTATACAATTAATTTATGATACATATCTGCAGTTGTTGTTATGTCTCAGATCTAGTCATGGTTGTGAAGAAGAAAGCACCTAAAGTGGAGGCTGTAGCTTTGGATGATGTCAAGCTGAAGAGCCTGACAGGTGAGTGACAGAAATCAACTTTTAGTGGTTGTGCATACGTTACCTGTAATATTTCATGCTTTCTTTCAGATTCCCTGTCTGTGGAGGGGGATAGTATAGCCACAGAGCTAGCTCGGGTTCTGAAGGACAGTTTATCGTCCTCTGACCCGGTTGAGCAGATCCAGCTCATCTCTAAGGTTGGTCTGCATCACATTCATCTTAAATATCTTCACTGAGTTATACTGAATGTACTGTAATCGCACAGCACTTCATTGGTTTGTATGTTGACTGCAGGCAGGCGTCCTGTTGGAGCAGTTGAGAGAGGATGAGTGCACTATGGGTCCTTTACTGCAGGCTTGCATGAGCACACTTGCGTTCCTGTTTACCACACTGCCAGCTAAGAACCCACTTAAGAGAGCCGTAGCAAGGTTCCCACATTTCTCTGTCACTCATGCTACTGGAAAATCAATAACTCTTATTTGAAAATGATTGACTTCTGTGTGCTTTGTTTACATATATTTATCTATTTAACACACTGGCATCAACTTTTTCTTCTCTATCAGTGCACTAGGAAGTGGCCCAGATTGGCTGCAGGAGCAGACGGTTGGATTTCTGTCTGAGAGCCTGTCTTCCTGTCTCTCCTCTACGAGCACAGATCACTGCTCACACTTAACAGATAGCATCACTTCCTGTCTGGATGGCTTTAAAATCGGTATGTTTAAGTGATGTAATTTTATAAGATTGGATTGGAATCAGTAAGTTGTTGTTGTTGTTGTTGTTTTTAAAAAAAATAAATTAATACTTTTATTCGGCAAGGATGCATCAAAATTGACACTAAATGCAGTTATAATGCTGCAAAATATTTCTACTTTAAATAAAAATAAAAGTTGTGCTTTTAAATTTTCTATTTATCAAAAAAAAAAAAAAAAAAATCCAGAAAAATATTAGGCAGCACAACTGTTTTCAACATTGATAGTATAAGCAATGTTTCTTGAGCAGCACATCAGCATGTTAGAATGATTTCTGAAAGATCATGCGACACTGAAGACTGGAGTAATGATGCTGAAAATTCAACTTTGCATCACAGGAATATATTACATTTTAAAGTATATTCAAATACAAAACAGTTGTTTTCAATTGTAATAATATTTCACAGTATTACTGTTTTTTTCTGATTTTTTTTGTTTAAAAAAGTGAGACTTTTTGTGTGCATAAGACACTTTTTTTCCAACCCCAATCAGTAGTATGTGTAGTGCAGTATATTTTTAAATTGTTCTGTTTGTTTTACAGTTGAGAAATGTGTTCACCATTTGCTAACAGAAGGTTAGTATACAAGTTAAATAATTTAATGCTGTATCTTTGGTTTGCTCTGCTCTTTAACAAATTCTGTCACTGATTTTTATTTTATTTTAAATCTCATAGTGCTCCAGTTCTTCCAAAGGACATTCAATTATTATGTGGAGCAGAACAGGTAAAGTTTTCCCTATTGTACTGTATAATGTGCTGTATGCATGGACGAAAAAGTTGCATGGATGAAATCTTGTTCCTGTTACCCAGAATTCTTGAAAAATGTCTCTAGCATGGTTTGTTGTTGTTGATTTGTTGTTCAGGGGTTTGTCTGGTCGTCATGTGGCCCAGGCTCAGCTGATGCAGTCGTGTCTGGCAGCGGTGAAGGCTTCAATGCTGGTGGTTCAGAGGTCTCAGGAACCCATCACCACTGCAGTGCTTTCAGCTTCAGATGACCAATCTGATCTACATCAGGCTCTCAGTGGACTACTCAGCTGCTATACATGTATCTTGACTGACGGTAAGGCAAAGACCCCTATATTCTTCATATGCAACTTGACATTGAGTGTTTTTGTATTTATTTACACTTTTTTAAAATATATATTGTATTTATTTCTGTAAATTTTTGTATTATACTGAAGTTCTTTTCCCATCTAGAGGAGTTTGTTCAGACGGTCCAGAGCACTGCTGGGATGGCCCTTGTTTTGCTCATTAGATCTATTATTGGCAATGGAGATGATGTACCTGTCATAGTAAGTGAGAAGCAAGAAGCTTATTCTGTACTCTGTCTTAACTTGAGCTGCATTTGAATCCATTCCTGGCTGTGGAAGTGCTTTTAAGTGTGAAGCGTGTTTCTAGGTTGCGAGTCTTCTGCAGTGTTCAGTGGATGCAGGCAGCATCGCCCCTCAGTGGCTGAGACAGAGCTGCGCAGGTCTGTATGAGAACGGCAGGCCTGCAGCTGTGGCTCTGTATCTGAGTCATGGAGCTCTGGCTATGCTCAGCTGGAGAGGAAAGACTCTTGGTCCACATGCCGAGAAACTGCTGCTGCTCATACCTGAAGTGCTCCTGTCTCTAGATACAAGGTACTAAAGGATACCAAATGCATTCACACAAAGGACATGCAGAACTACCGATTTTAACAGTTGACAAGTCAGTGGGTTTTCTGAACGAGGGATTTGTTTGCAAAATTAAATAACTGCCACTTGCTACAGCCTAAAGAAATATTATACCTTTTAACTTAAAATACACCATCATTTTTGCTCATAAAGGTAAGAGTAATACATCATTTGGAACCACAAAGGGTCTACTTTTATTTGTGCACTCACAATATCAGCAAACGTTGCTTTTTTAGAAAACATACAGAATGCGCATTCTGCCGTCTCGGTCTCTCTGAACAGGAGCGCTTCACAAAAATGAACCGGAACTCAAATTACTACTTTAAAGGGTTAGTTCACCCAAAAATGAAAATTAGCCCATAAATTACTCACCCTCAAGCACTGGTGGAAAGAGTACTGAAAAAATATACTCAAGTAAAAGTACCATTACCTTCCAAAAAATGTAGTGTGAGTAGAGTAAAAGTACTTGTCCAAAAAACTACTCGAATTGTTATGCTGATAATACAATTTGTAAGGGAAAATGCATTAAATGGCGAGGTATTTCAAACTTTTTCAAAGGAAAACGCACACACACACGCACGCACACACACACGCATGTGCGGCGCTCTCGGTGAATCAGCAGCATCCACAACTGAACGTACGTGACACACGAGAGTAAAGAGGGGTGTTCGACTTGAAGATCAGATCGGTGTATGACATCAAAGTACGAGGAGATGTCCGCGCTCTCTTATAGCTCGCAGTACTTTGCTGACACACACCCATCGGTCTAAGCAGCGCTTCAAGTCGAGCGTGGGCCATCAGCAGAAAAAGAAAAGCAATTAAACAGTAAACAGCCAAAGGATGTAACTTAGAATGGGAGATGGATCGGTTTGTGAAAGGGAAGAGAAAAGCCATAGATGAAGTCGCACAGACCCAGGCAGGTGCTGGTCATTCAAAAGCTAAATGCAGAAAATATGACGAGGCATATTTTCAATGTTTCAAGTGATGCATGTGTTTTTTCCCTGTAGGTTTTTTAAATTAAAAAAACATTAATTTTTCATAATGTTTAGTGAAATTATTTGGTAGTCTGAGGGGGGCGCAACCAAAAAAGTTTGAGAACCACTGGTCTAAAGTTAACAGACAGTGTTTAAAAAGTGCAGTGCACATGTTTACATATGTTTATTACATTGACTTTGAATTACCTAAAGTAGTGTGGTAAAGCAACAGATTTGTTTTTGTATTTCTGCAATCTACTTTAGTTTGTGCGATTTGTTACTGACTTGCATATTAATGTTTACACCAGGCTTATTTGTCAGTGCTTTATGTTGTCATAATTATTACATGCTTACAAGGTTGGAAGTTCAACAAATCAGTCAATATACTACTATATACTACAATATACTACTTTAAAAATTAAACATGTTTTAGAAAGAGGTTTCTTATGCTCACCAAGGCTGCGTTTATTTGATTAAAATACAGAAAAAAACAGTAATATTTTTAAGTATTATTACAACTTAAAATAGCTGTTTTCTATTTTAATAAATTTTCTAATGTAATTTATTTAGCATGAATTTTTTATCATCATTACTCCAGTTTTCAGTGTCACATGATCCTTCAGAAATCATTCCAAAATGATGATTTGCTGCTCAATAAATAAATAAATAAATGAATTCTTATTATCAGTTGTTATCAACTCTTAAAACAGTTGTGCTGCTTAATATTTACTGTGGAAATTGTGATACATTTTCTTTTGAAGAATATTCTTTGATGAATAAAAAGTTCAAAAGAAAAGTGTTTATTTGAATAGAAATCTTTCACTTTTTCAATTTAAATCATCCATGCTGAAAGTTGAAAGTATTGAAAATTTTAATAGAATTTCAACAAAATACTGAGAAACGGTAGTGTATATTCGTCATTTATTTGCTGAAAGTTTTTCCACAATAATATTTCTGAAGCTGCATTACAGTAAATATTGTGAATATTTACAGAGCAAGCTAAAAGTGACGGGAAATGAGAAACCCCCTGGAAAGACACAATACAAACCATTTTAGAGAAAAATGGTGACGTGTTCAATACTTATTTTACCCGCTGTAAGTACATGCATACATATACACACACACACACACACACACGCACACACACACACAAACAATGTATTTATACATTGAAACAGAAAATAGGAAAAATAAATACTTCTGGAATACGTCTGGAAAAACACTACTTATCACAAAATGAACTCAAGAAATAAAAAAAAAATTAAATCGTTTTTTTTATCATCAAAATAGCTATACATAATTTATAATTTGTGTTAATATTGATACTACGTTTTACTTGAAGAATAATGATGCTCAGAGATTGAAACAGACAGTTTCAACTGATTTACAGAAATTGTAATCATGGATATTTTTTTATTTTATTTTATTATTATGATTATTTTTGCATTTTTAAATCTTTGCAGTATTCATTTGTGTATATATGTGTATAAATAATTTTAGGGTATTTGAGTGTGGAATATTTTTCAAAAACAGTGTTATTGAATTTAAATGAGGATTTTGAGGAATTAGGGGTATTGTATAAAACTTCTTGTTTTTTTGTAAGTGCTAAGTGTTTGTTCCTCAGGGTCAGCTGGCAGCAGAGGTGCGTTGGGGGCTTTGATGACGTGTCTGCGTGCCGCCCGGTCTCAGGGTGTTCTCAAGTCTGTGGAGAAGGAATTGTGGGGTGGCCTGGTGCCGCTCCCACTAATGCGACAGGCTCTGGTGCACAAACACGATCAGGTAAACGGGAGCTTCATTATATTTTACTGTACCTTTAATAGTTAATGTCTGACATGCTAAACTGTGTCATTTCTATAACACAAAGAGAATTGAAGGCTGTTTATGTAATTTCAGGTGCGAATGGATGCTCTGGGTTTGGTATGTGAGAGCCATCGAAGCACAGAAACTCTGTCCAGACAGGAAATAGAGCTGATCCGCCACTTCCTGCCCTTTAATCTAAACAGTCAGTCACCAGGAGTCAGACAGCAGACTGTCAGTCTGTTAAAGAAGGTAGGAAGCGATGATGGCTCAAGCTTTGATTGGCCAGAGGACATTGGAGGCGTGTTCTGATTGGCTCGTGTCTGTTTTGATGTGTTGTCAGCTCCTGTGTAGGGTGAAGGACAGCGCTCAGCTGCTGCAAAAGAAACTGGACCAGCATCACAACCACAAAGACCAGCAAGTCTTCAACATGTACCAGGTAGAATTGTGATACTAACTGAGCTGTAAGATACACTTCATGGATAGGAGATTCATTGGTTCTAAATCTTTTCGTGAATTATTTTACTCAATAGACATTTTTGCTTTTGAAACTGATTAGATAGCTGACTAAACCAAAAAGTCACATGGAAAATCTAGCTAAAGGAGTGAATTTAGAAATCTAAACAACAAGAAGTGCCAAGGAACATCAGGAACCGAGAGATAAGAGTCCTCTGATTACACAGACATTGAGTGATGTGTTAAACACAGGAGGCACACATGAAGCAATAAACATTAAGATAACTGAAGAAAAATGTGTTTTTCCATTAGCATGCGTTTGCCCCTCTCTTTATTTACACTACATGCGTGAATCGGTGGGCGGGGCTAAACAGGCAGCGATGCAGAAGCAGGCGTTGATCATCTTCTGCAGAGGCGGTGTTTAGCCACACTATTATGTCATAAAGTAGAACATTCCACAAGCTGTCGTTTTGGCAGGTTTGCTTCAATATAAGCTGTTTTTAGACTAACAAGACCGTTTTGAGTTCTGAAACTTGCAGGATGTTTTTATAGCACACTGTCCTCTTATATATCAAAAGATCAAGGGAATTTTGATTTCTCCGTTCATGACCCCTTTAAACTGAAAATCAATTTTCTCTCTTATCAGGAGTTTCTGCGCTGGTTCTGCGAGACTCTATTCCAGGTGTTTCACCCAGGAGCCTCATTCTCCAGGTGTCTGATGGCTCTGCACCTGCTGGGGCTGATCGCTGAGCATTTCACCTTTAACACGGGTATTTTTATAACTTTTACTTGCACAAGGATGTCATCTTAAGTGGTATATTGCCAAAACGAATATTATTGGTCGATATACAGTATGCCATTCCTTTAAATTTATTGCTGTTTTTAATTATTGGTAAAATAAAAATCTGTTTACAGGTTTATCAAGTTAAAATTATAATTTTTTTTTTAAATTAATGATTATTTATAATAATTTTAGTACATATTATGTAAAATAAATATTACAGTATATTGCAGAAGTTGTTATCCATGTGTTATTTACTATCTTTAAATAGCATGGTATCATATAAGCCTCTATCGCCTTTATATCAGCCGTCAGCCACCCTGCTCTCTAAGACGTTCACTACTTCACTAGTCACCTCATTATACTTCAAATCATCTGTTCACCTTTTTTTTCAGGCTGTGGTTTTGCTCTTGGAGAGTCAGTGAGCTTTTCTCATGCTCAAGCTGTGCTGTACTGTCTTGCAAGCAACTTTCTTGAAGTCAAACATCTCGCCTGCAACCTCTTACAAAAGCTGCCCCCCGCAGCAGTGCGACTCCAGGTCAGTGTGAAAGTAAGAGTCTGAGACTACTACTGAGCAGTGTTCAAATTAATATGAATGCATGTCCTCCTCTGTGTAGGAGCCGGAGAGGCTGCATTCTTTGCTTCAGGTCGCTCTGAACCTCAGCACCAGCACCAAACCTTTCGACAGCGTCACTGCCGCTCATCTTCTCAACCTGCTGCTGCACCAGCCGGGTCTGCAGGATGCGTTACTCCGCTGTATCCAGAAGCAGCACATCCCTGTCCAGCCACCAGCACTGATCCAGTCCCAGACATCTGAGGCTGCCAGTCTGGAGCAGAACACCCTGGCAGGTATGCTAGTGTTAGATGACCATCACTCAACATATTGGTTTATGATCCAGGCTGCCATCCGAAAGATTGTTGGTTTAAAGGAGACATATTATGCCCCTTTTTACAATATGTAATATATGTCTTTGGTGTCCCCAGAGTGTGTCTGTGAAATTTCAGCTCAAAATACTCCACAGATAATTTATGTCATTTTGAAAATGCCTATTTTGAGTGGAAGCAGAAACATGCTATGTTTCGGGCCTGTCTCTTTAAATGCAAATGAGCTGCTGCTCCCCGCCCCCTTTTCCAGAATAGAGCTGCGCCATTACAGCTCGGACCTGCTAAAAACATCTGTTATGGTTCTGATTATCATGTTTATCGTGCTGCAATCATGCGGTTTAAACCATATGAGTTTAAACTTCTGATATACGGTTTTCTGAGCACACACATCCGAAGCACACGGACAGAAAGCGGCTGTCACAGCATGGGAGTACTAAACTAAGTTCTCATTCACACACAAGTTTACGTTAAAAACACACATGAGTTACAAAAACAGTCGTTTATGTCTGTGAAGGTATACTGCTGGGAAATAAATCGCGTGTTTATTTTAGATCTAAATAGTGTTCTGTGCTCGTCTGTGCAGACAAAGGCAGAACAGTTAGTATGTTTTGCTCAAACTTTCGCCGTGGCATTAGAACTAGTACACCGTTGTCGCTTGCGAAAACACAATGACGTCGCCGTGGGTGGAAACTTACAGATTAAGGGGCGGTAATATTATAATGAATCCCTTTGCAACATCACCAAGGGAGCGAATCAGACGCGCTCGTTTTCTCAGACGCTTGCCGAAAAAGGCTTACCAAAACAAAGTTACTGGGTTAATCTTTTTCACGTTTCCTTGATTGGTAGATGCACCGGGGACCTGATTATAGCACTTAAAACCTGGAAAAGTCAGATTTTCATGATATGTCACCTTTAAGCAGGATATCAATTTTCAAGACTTTTCATAAGTTCCGTAATTTAATTGTGAACTTTAACATTGCAAAATGCATGTACAAGACTTAAAAAAACCAAGTGTCCATTCTTAAAGGGACAGTTCATCTAAAAAATAAAATTGGCATCAGTTACACACCGTCACATCTTTCCGAACCCATACGACTTTCATTTATCTTCAGAACAAAAAGGTACAAGATATTTTTAATGAAAAACCTGACAGATTTCTGTCCCAAAAGTGACCCTTTCTGGGTGTAGTAAAAATATCTCAATTTGTGTTTTGAAGATTAATGTAAGTGCATTTCGAAAGACATGAGGATGAGTAAATGAGAATTTTTTTTGGGTGAATTCACCCTTTATTCTACAATTTTCAGAAATATACTTGAAAATGTTATATAAATTATATAATTAAAATTATATCCATTATTTAGAATTGATTAATAATGTTTTGTAGAAAACAAAGATTCAAACATAAAATATACATTACCAATTGTTTTTCATGAGTGGAAATTGAGACTTTTGCAGTTGTTTTAACTCTATACATTAATCTAAATTAAATCATGTGTATATGTATGTATATGTATGTATGTATGTATGTATGTCTAAATTAGAGAGCATATTTGTGATGTTTCAGTGGTGCAGTGGCTGATGGTGTGTCTGAAGGAAGAGGTTTTGAAGGCCGAGTCGTCTCTTCTGCAGGCCGCTGCTTCCTATCCTTTATATGGCAGAGCTCACTGCATCACTGCAGTCCTGCAGCAGCTCAACACTGGGTACATCCACACACACTCAACCTTTAGTCGTCTAGTACAGAGATCTTTGCGTTCCTTGTGTCTGGTGTGTGTGTGTGTGGTTGATATGTTTCTGTGTGTTCAGATCACTTGTACTGCTGTCTGAGTGGAGGGCTGTTGTGTCCGAGCTCATAGGCCTGTGCTACAGGATGTCTGATGTCGTGTCACCTGTGGTTCAGAGCTCTTCCCCTGAGGGCCTTATTCCCATGGATACAGAGTCTGGTAAATGTGTCTAACACTGTCTTAACCAGCTGGCAGCATGTCCAGCAGTGCACTAGTAGACATTCTGTCTGTCCCTTGATTTGCACAAGGTAGCCTCTCGTCTGCCATGGTAATGGGTGGTATGTCATGTGTGACAGTAAAAATGTGTCAACTGATTGCTATACTGTTTATACTGTATAGATTGTGATTGCTACACGTGAGAGGGATGTGTTAAAAAACATGTAGTAATACTAAAAATGTAAAGCGGGACATGTCCCAAGAAAGTTAAGGCGAGGAAGAACATCTTAGTTTGTGTTGTTGACCAAAATGGCAAGTTTTATGTTCAGTTGTCCAGCAATATCACAACTTGGCACTTTCATATAGAATTCAGATGATGTGCGAGTTACAGGAGTATTTTACAACAACTTCAAGCATGGATCATCCAATTAGAATTCAGAGGCAGAACTGTGCATTTTATAATGTCAGTTTTTTTGTGGTTATGTTGGTTTATGTCTATCAAGTTCTAAATAAAAGAGAAAATAATTCAATTAGATGAGAATAATAATTATAATGTCAGTTTTTTTGTGGTTATGTTGGTTTATGTCTATCAAGTTCTAAATAAAAGAGAAAATAATTCAATTAGATGAGAATAATTTTTTTTTTTTTTAAATAAAAAAAATGAAAAGTACCTTTCATTTGTATTTATTTAACTGGAATAGGGGTTCCTTTTTTTTTTGTCGTCTCCTTGTACAGTATGTAAAAATATTTACTTGAAGTACCCGCCAAGATTTTAAGTTAATATTTCAGTAAACACATTCATAAGAATTAATATTATTAACAAAATGCTATATAATAATAAGACTGAAATATTGTTTGTAAATATATAGTTGTAATGCCAAATATTGAATATTCATTTTTATTTTACAGTGCAAGTTGCAATACTAGTACATGTTATGTCTTAAAATGTTCACTTTCAACCTATAAATATGATAATTGCTCTAAGCTATATCACGATTTTAACTTTATTTTTGTATATTTTTAATTGTGCAGAATTAATTATATTAATTATTTGTGTGATTGGGAAAACTTACTTGAGTATTTAATTTTTTTTACTGACTTTACAGCATATATTGTTTTATTTTTGTTTTATGAAGGTCACTTTAAATGGAATGCTAGCTATGAAATTATCCTATTGACAAATCAGCTTTTGTCACAGTCATTTGTCACATCAACCCAGAATGCTATTAAACTTTTACATTTTATTCGAAATTACATTGTAATACAAATATTCACAATTTTCAGAAAAAAAAAGACAGTTATCCTGTAATGCATGTTGGACATTGTAAGTGTCTAGAAGTCCTCAGGGTCATAACTATTGTAGCTCTATTAAATTTCAATGTCGCATTGTATGTGTTAGGAGTCAGGACAGTATGTTGTTCCACTTTAAATCTGTCAATTGCATATATGTGATAACAATACATATTGTTCTTCTCTCCACAGAGACCTCTGCTGGCCTCCAGAAGATCCTGCAGGAGATTCAACCTCGGGACACAAACGATTTTTTCACTAGTGCAAGAGAGCTGGACCCCAGTGAGAGCGACTGTAACAGCGAACAGAAAGAGCCAGAGAACGCAGTTCATAAACCACAATCCTGTAACAGCGGTACAAACACGATCGCCCTTCACTAAATACAGTTCAAGCACCTCTCCCATAGCATCTGTATCAAAAAAACTAATTTTAAACTCAAATTTCATACATTCAGACACGTCATAAATTCACTTATATTATGTCTATAGGAACCGCACTCATATTTTAACCAGAATTGATTTCAAATGCAGGCTGGTGTTGCTGTAATACATGTTCTGTCCATGAGAGGCCGACATTTGAGTAGAAAAAAGTTTGAGTGTTTATTTGGGGGGGTGTGTGTGTATTTGTGTTGTCTAGGTGGCGGTGATGGAGAGGCCTATCGAGTCACCGCTCAGATGGTGCTGGTGTGTTGCTGGAGGACCATGAAAGAGGTGTCCATGTTGCTGGGTCATCTGTGTCAGAGCATGCCGCTGTGCTGTCCTCTCACACACGCTGACGGTAGAGGAGTCGTCACAGTGGACCAGGTCAAACACCGACACAGACACACACTCAACAGGTGTCACCTGATCTAGCATTCGTTGTCTGACACACATACACACGCTCATCTCAAAGAGACTGTTTTAGATGGAAGCCACCGAGCCTCCCTCAAGCCAAGATCTCGGTTACATAAGTGAGTGAGATATAATGGAGAACTGTACCTCATGCCGTTGAGTGGAGACTTTTTCCAGTAAGCTGATCTTTTTGAGCTCAGGGCCGAGAGATGAGACATCATGGTAATTGCTAATACAGGCTTAAATATGGTCTAGCGAACAGCCCCTAAAGAGGCGTCAGGAAATGTGATCACGGTGAATACAACTTCATTTGCCATAAAACTGAGCCTGGCGGCCATTAAAAAGAGAATGTCAAACGTATTTCCAGTACGGACTCAAAGACTCTGTTCTAAACCCTGGGGTGTAGGCTTCCTTTTAAGGTAGCACCCTATCCATAATATGTCTTAACTTGAATGTAATATAATAATAATAATAATAATAATAATAATAACTTTGTTCAAAATGGCTTCTAAATATCTGTCCACTGAAGTGGACACCATGCATGAAAGGGTTAAAAAGTGCAAACTGTGAAAATTACATAATCTAGGACCTGTATACAGTGTGTGCCATTGTAAAGATTGTAAGTCTATCCATCACCGTCTCAGTTTCATCCGCATTCATCTAACCTGACTAAAGACTTGGATAATCTGTTTCTCTTGTCGCAATGCATTCTGGGATTTACGTAGTCATTAAGGATACATAAGATTCTGCCTTTGTATTTGGCTAATATGAGGTATGGTAGCATAGAGCCCTGCATTTCAGCCCCGGGCCCAATGGGCCCCGACTTTTTTACGCCCCTAGGGCCGGGCTTCGGGCCAATTTTTACATCATAGTTCAGATGCGGGCCGGGCCTCGGGCCTGTTTTAGGGGGATAGTTCACCCAAAAATTTTACTTGTTCCAAAAGTGTACAAGTTTTTTTTCTTCTGTTGAACACAAAAGTAAATATTTTGAAGAATGTTGGTAACTAAGAAGTTGACAGTAGCCATTGACTTCCGTAGTATTTTTTTCTGTACTATGGAAGTCAATGGTTACCGTCAACTGTTTGGTTACCCACATTCTTCAAAATACTTACTTTTGTGTTCAATAGCTGAAAGAAATTAATGAGTAAATGATGGCAGAATTGTAATTTTTGGGTAAATAAATAAATTGTAATATATACGGGCCTGTTTTAGGCTTCTCCTTATTTTTGTATTTTAGACATCCATCAATTAGTGATGAAAAAAAAATTGCCGCGCTGGTGGAAACAACATGAGGCTGTGCTACTGCGACTGTCGAGAGCGGCTCGGCGGTGTTTAGTGTCCCGCCAGCAGCAGCTGCGAGCACGCCTTCAGCGTTCAAATGCACGCAATAGGCTAAAGCTTGCCGCAAAGCACCGGCAAAAGTAATTGCCATGAATGTGTCAGGGGGAAATAGTAAGGAGATATTTGAATTATTTACTAATAAGCTAGTGTTTTCTGAGTTCGTGTCGCAAGGATGACGTTGCCGATCCTGACTCGCCATCTCCTCATTAGACGCACCTTTAGAGAGAAGTGCATCTTTACCAGAGTAAGCGCATCGTGTTTGTTTTCTTTATTTTATAAAAGCACAACGTTTTGTTGATATTGTGAGTGCACGCAAATAAAAGTAGACCCTTTACAGTTCCGAATGATGTATTACTCTTATGAGCAAAAATGACAGCGTATTTTAAGTTGTTTCCACTGAAAAAATGCAAGCGATCGCGCTGGTGTCTCCATGTCCTGCAAAGCGCGCTTTAGCTTCCACTCTCTGCACAAACTATTGGATATAGTGCACATTTATCTAGGTTTAACGTT